TAGGGGCTGGGTGAAAGCCCCTCAGCCTTGGGCTTCACCTCTGCCTCCAACTCCTGGCCCACTGAAGCTAGAGGCTTTTCTTCACTCAGACAGCTGCTGGCTGCTAGGGCTGCCAAGCCCTAGGTTCACAGGTAAGAAGGCATTGTCCCAATGTTACCAAATCACATGACAGGGTATCAATTCAAGTCCATTGTAAGTCCCAAGGTCAGAGATCATGGCAGGCTGCTGAACAACGACACGGCTACATGCAGGGTTCAAGGTGCCATAAGCTAGAGACCATTCCCAAAGTTGCTTCTTATATATGGGAAGCAGACCACATACCTAAAGCAGCTACTCAGCTGCTCCAACAGATCCCATCATGGAGTTGATTGCCAGTGTCATCATGGGGAATAACTACCTCCAGCTGCCTAACCACTCAACCAGGCCTAGCCAAGTTGTCACACAAACATAACCACCACATTGACCATCACCTCAGAATATATTGTCTCTTTCAGTAGTCTTACTTACATTTTATTGAGCATAAACTCTCACATGGGACTTAAAAAATATCAGGCATTTATCATTTACTTTTCCATCTGTATACATTACCCAAGCCATAGTATTTTCAGTTGCTCCATATGCATGCAAAAACTGGACAATGAATAAGGAGGAGCATACAAGAATTGATGTCTTTGAATTATTGGTTGGTGAAGAATATTAAATATACCATGGACAGCCAGAAGGACAAACAAATCTGTCTTGGAAGAAATACAGCCAGAATGCTCCTTATAAGCGAGGATGACAAGACTTCATCTCCTGTACTTTGGACATGTTATCAGGAAGGACCCATCCCTGGAGAAGGATATTATGCTTGGTAAAGAAGACGGTCAGTGAAAAAGAGGAAGACCTTCAATGGGATGGGCAGACACAATGGCTGTAACAATTGGTTCTAGCATAACAACAATTATGAGGACAGCACAAAACTGAGCAATGTTTCATTCTGTTGTACAGCAGGATCTCTATGAGTCAAAAGTGACTCTACAGCACCTAGAAACAACAGCTATGGGGAAAATCCATTGGGTTTAATAATTCTTAACATAAGAATTCCCCCATGTCACTTAGAATGTTTAAGGGAGTGAAGAAACACAATAAAATCAATGCCACCAAAGCCATAATGGTAACAGCAACATAGGCCAGGACTCTGTATTCAGCACTGTGTTCCTGCAGGACAATGGCCCCTGCATTTGAGTCATTGCAAAAGACAAGCCAGTATAAAAAGCTGAATTACATTATTCAATTAGGTTGCATGAACTAAGATTAACTATAGCGATGGTAATGAGTGCAGCTTGGGTAAATCTTGGTTCCAATTCCAGCTCCACCAATTCCTAACTCTTTAAACTTGAGTAAGGTTATTTAATTTTTTGTGGGGGGCTGTTTTCATAGCTGAGAAATGAGGAAGATAATATGATTAACAATCTTACATGGTTGTTGAAAGCATAAAGTGAAATATTTCAAACTCTTAGCATGTGGTAACCAAAAAAATCAAACTAGTTGCTATCGAGTAGATTCCAACTCATGGTGACCTCCTGTGTTTCAAAGTAAAACTGCTCTCCATAGGATTCTCATGGCCATGACCTTTCAGAAGTAGCTCACCATGTCTTTCTTCCAAGGCACCTCTAGGTTGATTCAAACTTCTAACCTTATGTTTAGTAGTCCAACACTTAACTACTTGCACAACCTAGGAACCCATAGTACATGATAAGTGCTCCATAAATGGTAGTTTTATTATTATTTCAGTTCCTAAAATTTAACCTCCTTCATACTTTAGCTTTGGTTTGACAATAATCCTGGTAAGAAAACTAAAGTGAGAATTTATTACAATTTCCCTTCTTATGAAACCACAGTTGCTACATTACCAGATGCTTTTTTCCCAATTGCTAAATAATAATAACAACAGTAATATACAATAGAAATTAAAGTTACAAATAAAACATAACTACATTATTTAAAATTCATTTCTGCTAGCTGTTTTCCTGAGGTGCATTCAGTCCATTTTCAAATGAGCAAGTTATTTCTTCAGCTTACCACCATCCTTGAGGTACCTTCATAACCTGCGGGGGGGGGGGGGAAGAGTAAGCCATTTAAGAGAAATATATTACACAATTCCAAAAAAGAAAAAGATCCCAGCCAGCATTTTTATTTTCAACTCATTAATGTCCTCCTAGGAAAAAGATGGGAGAAGTTCTCAACGAGAGTTTACTATACCCCATAGTATATAGGTTTCCAGGAAAGGAGAATCTTTGCACAGCTGGGAACTTTGGAAAGTCACTACTTTATTGCTGAATGTGAACAAGGAAGCATATGACCCTGATTGCTACTAGCCTATTCTATGACCTAAAAGGAACTGGCCAAGGATGAAGCCAACTCTTTGAAGAGGGAGCAGACAGAAAGAAATAGACTTTTTCCTTGAGAATAAGCCTCTGGCTCCACCAAGTGAAAAGGCCACCTTGCCTCTGGACTGCCAATTCATGGGAGCCAATACATTTCCTTAGTACTGAAACCAGTTTGAGTTGGGCTTTATGATATTACAGCCAAAAAATGTCCTGACTGACTGTGCTAGTTATTCTTCATCTGCTCCCTTGGAAACTTTCTCTGCCCTGACCTGTGCTCCAGGTGGCTGGCCCCTAAAGGTTACGTCATCAAAACTCCCTTGCCCTATGTTTTTTATTGGGCTTGGCTAATGGGAGGCACCTGCTGAAGATCTGAGGACAGAAGGAGGGAAAGGTTGAAGTATTTTTTCCTCTACTTTCTCCAACTCTCCTTGTTAAAAAAAAAAAAAAAAAAAAGTTGTTATGGTGTAAATTCTAACTCTTGGTAACTCCATGTGTGTCAGAGTAGAGCTGTGCTCCATAAGGTTTTAATGGCTGATTTTTCAGAAGTAAATCACCAGGCCTTTCTTCCAAGGCACTTCTGGATGGATTTGAACCTCAAACCTTTTTGTTAGTAGCCAAGTACATTAACACTTGCATTACCTACAAACTCTTTGCTTAGGTTCTGGCCATTTCCCTCCAATACTACAATTCTTTCCTGGTGCATCTTCTTCCAGAGCTCTTCTCTGTGGGCTACGGTAATAACTCCTCTGTCTCTCCAGCCATAAGAAAGGTAATAATTTCCTGCTGCTGCTAGTCTCAGGGTGCTTCAAATTCCCTGTGACTTCCCTTAACCCTGCCATCACAGTCCCTCCACCAACATATCTTTCTGATCATCTGAGTGGACTTGTGATTCCTGCTGGGATCCTAACTGATAGCATTTAAAGAACTTAGAACAGTGCTTGACATATGGTAAACACTCAATAAATATTATAAATAAATAAATAAAAATAAACAGTTGCTGGACAGTCTGAACTGTGCCTACCTAATATGTGTCAGAGTAGAATTGATTTTCAGAAGTAGATTATCAGGCCTTTCTTACAAAGTAATTCTGGGTGGACTCAAACCTCCAACCTTCTGGTTAGCAGCCAGGCCCTTTAATCCTTTGCACCACCCAGAGGTTCCTCAATGAATGTTAGTTGTTATTAAAATATTGTTATTTCCAGCATCACAGCAACACACAAGCAACCATAGTATGACAAACTGACAGATGATGAGTGGTGGGCCAGTAAACAACTGGACCCAAAAGCAGCATCACAATAAATGGAAAAAAGATTGAAGTTGTTAAGGATTTCTTATTTCTTGTTTCCACAATCAAAACCAATGGAAGCAGTAGTCAAGACATCAGACTACATATTGCACTGGGCAAATCTGCTGCACAAGACCTCTTTAAACTGCTGAAGAGCAAAGATGTCTCCTTGAAGACTTAAGTGTGCCTAACCCAAGCCATGGTATTTTCAATCACCTTATATTCACATGAGAGCTAAACAATGAACAAGGAAGACTGAAGAGTTGATGCTTTTGAGTTGTGGTGTTGGCAAAGAATACTGAAAGTATCATGGACTGCCAGAAGAACTAACAAATCTGTCCTGGAAGTGCAGCTGTAATACTCCTTGGAATGAGTATGGCCAGATTCCGCCTCACATACTTTCGTAATGTTGTCAGAAAGGACCATTCCTTGGAGAAGGATATCATGCTTGGTCAAGTGGAGGGTCAACAGAAAAGGGGAAGACCCTCAATGAGATGGATTGGCATGGTGGCTACAATGATGGGCTCAGGTGTGGCAAATATTGTGAGACTGGCACAGGACCGGGCAGTATTTCATTCTGTTGTTCATGGGGTCACTATGAGTCAGAGTTGACTCAACAGAACCTAACAACATTGTTATTTCCTTTCCATTTTAAAAGTCCACATGAAAATACATCTTTGTGTCCAAAAAAATGAAGAAAAATTTAAAATAACAACCATAATCATGCAAATAAGAATGAAGATTGATCTCAGCAAATTAGAAAAAGTATATAAAAGCCTTCTCTCCATGCTCTTATCTCTGTGGTAACATGTAGGAGAAAGATATGAAATTATTTGGCTTCAAATTCTGTGAAAAACTATAAATTTATTCTTAGATGTTTTTAAACATAATCAAATTCCAATCGGTGATTTATAACATGCAATAAATTCCATATCCCTAAGAAAACTCCATTTGAATAGCTTCCCATCTGCTAAATTGATCACACTTACCATTATGCGATATTAGTCTCTTGAATATCTTCATTGATTGGAGTTATATCTTTACCCAGACTTTCCATCTCTTCTTCCTTCTTCCTTCTTTTACGACGTTTCCGAAGAGGGCTTATATAAAGTTAGAAATTAGTGTGGGCCTGTTAGTTCATGGGAACACAAAATTAATCATCAAGACAGTTAAAAATGCATAAGGTCTCATTTTTCTTAAGTATTTTGGGTTCCTTTTAGCCTCTTTCTGTAGGAGTTCTAGTGGTGCCATGGTTAAGCCACTCAGCTGCTAACTAAAAGATCAGTGGTTCAAACCCACTGCCCCTCCTACAGGGGAAAGATGAAGCAGCCTTGGAATCCTCACGGAGCAGTTCTACTCTGTTCTCGGGTCTCTGTGAGTCACAATCGACTCAGCGGCAGTGGACTTTTTTTTTTAATCTCTTTGTCAAGGATCACTTAAGAGAGGAATAGGCTACAATGTGATAGAATATAATTATCTACATAGAAAGAAAGGAGCTCTGGCAGTGTAAAGGTTAAATGCTCAGTTGCTAACTGAAAGGTTGGCAGTTCAAATCCACCAAGTGGCTTTGTGGGAGAACTGGTGATCTGTTTACATAAAAATTATAGTTCAAAAAACTCTACTGTGTCACATTTGGTCATATTGGTCAGAATCAACTTGACAGTCCCCCAAAACAACATAACAGAGAGAGAATATGGCAGTTGATTGTTCACTGAGCTTGGATGGCAAAAGAAATTTTTCAGAACAAGTCATTTTACAAAATAGATTTATAAGCATTATTTATTGTATAAAAAATAAACAGTATAAAATTGTCAACAGATACAGGACCACCAAGAGAGTGCTTGTGGCTTCTAGATACACTAACTAAGCTGCTAGACTCATCAGTTAAGAAATGTATTAGACATTCTGGGCTGCAGCCCAGTTTTCTTGATTAAAGTAAAATTCAAATTTAATGTAATAAAATAGGCCATTTCCATCTCTGCCTAATTAATTGATGTTCTCTGTCCCATATCTGGCATCACAAAACTCCATCCTACCATAAAAAGGTAAAATCAACAACATCTTTCAATGTTGAAGCTGGAAGGAATGATACAGATTATCTGGTTTATTCTTCTTATTTTACAGAAAATAAAATTGAAGTTTAGAGATGATAGGAAATTTCTTCGTAGGCTCAAACATATGTAAATGGCAGAACTGAGACCAAAACCAATAACCTCTACTGGCTACACTGGGGTTTTTCTCTTGCTTTGAAACTTCCTCCCAAGATTATTCTGAAGAAAGACACCTTCTGGTGTGTTCAATAGCCTGGAAGTAAAGGTAAAAGGTTAGAAGGCTAGACTAGCTTTTGAAAAAAAGATAGCATTTTAGGGCCAGTGAGTTTATGTTAATGGGGGAAGAACAACTCAGAAAAGGAGGGTGAGAATAGCTTCAGAACACAAAGAATGTAATCAATGTCACTGAATTGTATGTGCAGAAACAGTTGAATTGGTGTATGTTCTGTTGTGTATATTCTTAATAGCAACAAAAAAATGAATTTTAAAAAATTATTAAATATCTCTCTCAATAGATTAAACCCTAAATCATAAAAAAAAAAAAAAGATAGTACTTTAGGAAAATGCCTTTTTAGCATCTTAAGTGGTAGTTCTGGTCCAATTAAAAAAAAAAAGTATATTTCTAAAAGAAACTTAATTAAAGGCTACTTTATGCTCTGAGAAAAAGCAATGTTTCTTGATTCCCAAAGCAGTGATATATATAATAAAAAGTAAAAGACAGGAAAAATAGAACAATCATCTTTTGTAGAAAAAAATTATTATTTTAATGTAGCCAAGCAAAATGGTATTTATTGTCTTGCTCATTTATTTTTATCTTTTAAAATTATTGTGTTATGGTACTGTTTAAGAAAATAAACAGTGATTTTTTACCTGGTCTTATTTAGTCTACTCACAAACTCACACAAAAATATAACTAACTTCAAAACTTTGAAAAAAAGAAAAAAAAAAAAACTAGAAGAGCTATATAAATTTTGTTTTAAATTATAATAATTCTGTAGAGTAAAATGATAAAGATCATAGATTACATTTTATTATAAATAAATCCATCAAATATATGATGGCAAAACAAAAAATTGGTTTATGTAAATCAAAGCAAAAGGAAAAGAGAAAAGGAAGGAAGGCAGAGAGAATGAAAAAGGAAGGAAAGGAAACAATGAGAAAGATACATTTTCTTAGATGTATTTAACATTAAGTTTTAAAATACTTACTGACAGCATGTGCAGACACCAACCACTAGGATGATAAAAATGACCATAACCGCTATCAAACAAATCACCAAAATCTGTCCTTTATCTCCCCTTAGGTAAAACAAATCAACTCTCTCACATCTTGTTCCAGTGTAGCCTTCATCACAGCTAAAAAACAAAACAAGAAGAGGGCAACAGGGTAAAAAAAAATAGCAAGGCATTTACGAATCTCTATTATTTCTTTTATGAGGAACTAACACTGTATTCACTACTATGAATTAATGTTGTTGCTGTTGTTGTTATATGCCTTCGAGTAGGACCCGACTCATAGCGACCCCTCCTTGGGTTTCCGAGGCAGTATCACTACGGAAGTGGATTGCCCCATCTTCCTTCTGAGGAGTGGCTGGTTAGCAGTCAAGTGCCTTAGGCACTATGCTACCAGAGCTCCCTATGAATTAATAGAAGAATACAATTCCTTAAGAAAAAGAAAAACCAAAACACTCAATTCACAAGTACTTTCACTTTTTTTGCTGAAAATGTATTATTGCACAAACATTATTGATAATATGTCTAACCTAAGTAAACAGGGATGATGACAATTTACTGAAGTTTATTTTGAAATTTTAGATTCTGAGTTTGAAAGGGAAGTGCTGATAAAATTCTCTCCACAGCATTCCCAAGTGCTTAAATACCTCCATTATAAGGAAATAAAAAATATCCAGAGCTGCCCATCACATCCTAGGGCAATACTATCAGTTCTGGTATGCCCGAGGTCTCTTATAATATATTACTGTTTTATGTGATCAGACGTGATGATGTGTGTAAAAGCTCATTGCTCACAGCTCTTTTATGGAGAGCTTTCAACATATAGAAAGTTCTCCATAAATGTTATTCCTACTGGATTAATTTCTCTGTGACTTCTACCCACAGTTCTAGTTCTTCTGCTTGGGGGGTCAGTTACAGATTAGGTAATGCTCTTCTATTCACCACCCCCAAACTACAGCCCCCAAAATACGCAATGCAACTTGGTCCCTCCAGTTTCTTTTCCTAACATTCTAGGACCACATTATCAGATCTGTTCATTATTCTGTCTTGTTGTTGTTAAATGTTGTCGATTCAGTTCCAACTCATACCAACACTACGTACAACAAAACATAATATTGCCCATGCCTATGTCAACCTCACAATCATTACTATGCTTGATCTCATTGTTCCAGCCACTGTGTCAATCCATCTTCTTGAAGCTTTTCCTTTTCTTCACTTTTCTTTACTTTACCAAGGATAATTTCCTTCTTGATGGACTGATCCCTCCTGATAACATGTCCAAAATACTTGAAATGAACTCTTGCCATCCTCACTTAAGTAGAATTCTAGCTGTACTTCTTCTAAGACAGATTTGTTCTTTTGGCAGTTCACGGTTTATTCAATGTTCTTCACCAACACAATATTTCAAAGGCATCAATACTTTCACAGTCCTTGTTCTGGTTGCCTAGTGCCGTGCCTAGCCAAGTTGACACACAAACATAATCACCACAGTCTTCCTTATTCATTATCCAGCTTTTGAATGCATTTGAGGTGATTGAAAATATCATAATTTGGCCATTAGTCTTCAAAGTGATGGCATTACTTTTGAACACTTTAAAGAAGTCATTTGCAGCATATTTGCCCAATACAATACTTCATTTGATTTTTTTCACTACTACTTCCATGGGTGTTGATTGTGGAGCCAAGCAAAATGAACTCCTTGACAACTTCAGTCTTTTCTCATTTTATCATAATGCTGCTTGTTGGTCCAGTTGTGAGGATTTTTGTTTTCTGTATGGTGAGATGTTATCCATACTAAAGGTTGTAGTCTTTGATCTTTATCAGTAAGTGCTTTAAGTCTTCTTCACCTTCAGCAAGCAAGGTTGTGTCAAATGCATATTACACGCTGTTAATGAGTCTTCCTCCAATCTTTATACCAAGTTCTTCATATAGTCAAAATTCTCAGATTATTTGCTCAGCACACATTCCATCTACTCTCCTCTAAACAGCTTCCATATCTCACTGGCCATTATAAAGTGGAGTGCTCAAAAAACAAATGTTTTCCAGGCATTGTGTGAACACAGTGGGGCTATAATTGCTTTATCCTTCAATTTTCTTATTATCTTAGGATTCTCCTGAACTCAGCAGATCTGCCAAGTTCCTGAGGTTGTAGTTATGAATTCATTGGCCAAACTGGAACTTGTCTGAGGGACACTCAGTGCTATATAGTCATTGTGATTCGGGGATCATCCAAAATATTCTCTGACCTGTGTCAGAAGCTAAAAAGGTACATAAAAATTGTATCTGAGAACTGTTTATAAGCAAAATTGTATGTTGTAACATTCTCCCTTATTCTCCCCAGATGTATTAAAAACACCAAGGGTACTAGGCATATATCAAAGATGAAATTCTCCTTCTTGAAAAGATTTTTCTGTCTCCCCAATTTTCTTCAAGAAATGATCTACTCGCAGGCCTTTCTATAGTTGTGTTTGACAAGAGCCAAGGCAGTTAATTCCCACAAAGCGTGTATTTCCTCTAGTACAGAGATTCCTTAATGTTAATAGTGTAGCTAATATAATACTTTAAGAAGCAAACCAAAAACAACAACAAATATACTTAACAAACAAGGCCACCAAACAAAAACCTCACCAAACCAATCATTAATTAAATGGTGAAACTCAATGCAAGCCAAAGAGAAAAGATTCTTAATGCCATCCATCTTTGGTAAAAGGACCCCAGAATATCTGAAAGAAAACTGCTTCCTGCAACATAATTAGATATGTTCATTCCAAAGTCAAAACAACAGGAACATAGCTTAGACATATCTTGAAATATCAAAAATCTGTTGTGTGTAGGACTGGAATTGGGGGGAAATCATCTTTTATTTCATGACCACATGACCATGTAGGTGAGACAAAATATGGCCATTTTTATTTCCAAGGAGTATTCTGGCTGCACTTCTTCCAGACCAATTTGTTCCTTCTTCTGGCAGTCCCTGCTGTTTTCGGTATTTTTTGCTAACACTGTCATTCGAAGGCAGCAACTCTTCTTCAGTCTTTCTTGTACATTGTCCAGCTCTCACATGCAGATGAGGCTATTAAAAATACCCTGGCTTGGGTTAGGGGAACCTTTGTCTTCAAAGTAACACATTTTTTAAGGAAAGGAAATTTTTTAAGGTCACAATTAGAATCCTATAAATGTAGTCTCTCCCAATTAGCTTAAATGTTTCTCTGGCAAATTTACTAAAGATGGCATTTTTAAACAATAACTTTACCCACAAAATGTACAGCTATTACTTGCTGCTGTTTTAGAATTTTTTTTTTTTTTCTAATTATCAGCTCTGGGGTTAGTGGTTCAACCAAAGATTATATTGAAATTCTCAGTAGTATTTCCTGTAAGTTATAACTCAATGAAGCCATGCTAAAAGGTCAAATGTTGGCATAGCTTGTTATCAAGGCTTTCCTGTTATTTCACCCTCATCAAGCTAATAATGTATCAGCTTATTGTCATTTTCAGTTAGTGTCTTATAACTTCTAGACCAAATAAGTATGCATGCCTGTTACACAGCAGAGGAAAAGACAGTGTTTGTTTATCACAGAATAAAATAATGAATGGATTTTTATTTAACAAACATTGTACAACATTAAATATTTTAATTTTTTTTTTTTTTTTTAGTTAAAAATATATTTTTTAAGATGCCAATGATCCTTGAAGGCTCTGCAGAACTGGAGTTTGGGATTACTGCTTTGAAATACTCACCAGACACAGTTCTAAGGGCTTTATAAGTACTAACTCAATTTATCCTTATAACAATCCTTAAGGTAGGTGCTATTATTAACCTCATATTACAGAGGAAGAAACTGAAGTATCTCTATACTGAGTGGGGTTGGGATTCAAATGTAAGGCAATCTAGGTCCCAAATTCATGCTCTTAATGACCTTTCAATATTGCTTAAATGAGCGGTGCTAAATAAATGAATGAAATTTATATGTCAAAACAAAGTATCCCCATTTCCAAGAAAACAATGAACAATAAGGGATTTGAGTATTTGAGACACATTTTGGTTTTCATGTAAAAGCAGAGGTCTACAAACTCCTGTGATCCAAAACAAAAAGAGATATTTCTGGCTTCCCCAGATGGCATATCTTCCCCAATGGTAAGATAATTTTGCCTGAAGTCATGCTACACCAAGAAATCAAATGGTCAGACCTAGGCTGCATAATATTCCGCAATATTATGCTGCCCTTCTGAACTTCATGGATTGATTGTTCTAAGCAGTACCTGTATCTGTTTTCATTATAGTCCTGTCTATTGTTTGCTGGAAGCCACAGGAGTGAGTTCAATTCCAGGCCCAAAGGGTGACTCAGGGCAATAGTCTTGGGATTTCGCCAGTCTCTATCACACCAGTAAGTATGGTCTTTTATATGATTTCGAATTTTGCTTAATATTTTTCTCCCACTCTATCTAGGATCTCCTATGCTAATCCCTTTCTGAGTGGTTGACACTGGTAGCTGGGTACCATTTAGTTCTTCTGGGCTCATGGTCATGTAGGCTGAGGTTTGCATGGTCCACTAGTCCCTTGAACTAATTGTTTCCATATGTGTTTGATTTCCTTCATTGTTTCTTTGCTTTGGACAGCAAGAGACCAATTGTTGTATCTTACATGGTCACTTGCAAGCTTTTAAGACCCCAGTCGCTACTCGACAGACTAGGATATAGAACAAGGTTTTTGTGTAGTGTGTTATGCCAAGTGAGCTCAATGTCCCCTGTGACCATGGTCCCGAGTCTATGAGACCAGTGACTCACTCCTGTAGGTGTTTGGTTATGGGTAAGAACTTTGCCCACTGTCAGCTCTATTATATCTATGGACATTCTTATAGCACATACAAATGAGTATATAGAAATATCAACTGCCAAAGGTGTATATAAGGATATATCAACTTATATATGTTGTTGTTGTTAAGTGGTTGAGTGACAGCAACTCACAGTGACCCTATGTACAACAGAACAAAACACTTCCCAGTCAGCACTATCTTTACAATCCATGCTATACTTGAGCCCATCATTGCAGCCACTGTGTCAATCCATCTCATTGAGTATCTTCCTTTTTATGCTGACCCTCCACTTTACCAAGCATGATATCC